ATCTCGCCAACCTGAGGTCTTACAGATATTCGGGAACCGTCTGACGAATGTGTCAGCTGCAACATTTAAAGGTAAACAGTATACGCTACGGCTAAGACTAAGAACAGTAAAACTGGTGACATTCAAGCTCTGTTTTAAAAATGAATGTATTTTGACTGGGGCTTTGATTCTTTGCTTGTCATTACTGCTTAAATTTTTATAATTTTTTATCTAATATCTGTAGGTCACTACAGATGATACAAATACATGTATGTTTATCTTCTGTGCCACACAATATGTGCTATATGCTGATTGAGAAAGAATACTAAAGAAAACAACACTTGGTTACATGTATACGTTTGATGATCTGATACACGTGGAATGTTGACATGATGAATATTTCCCCTACAGGCCTGGTATCTGTGGAGCATATAGGGATGGGAGGCCACCCTGAAATGGTAAGCTTTCCTGGCGACACGTTCTGGCATCTTCCAAAGCTCGCTCACTTGAGCCTACTCGGTAACCCACTCGTGAGCATCAGCGACGCCGTGTTTTCACACCTACAAAGCTTAAAAAGTGTAAGTAACCCAGAAAACTAATTCTATTTGTATTTCAATTGGTGATGATAGCAGATCGTGTTACCATAGTGTCTTGTCAAAATATTTAAGGAAGAATTCAAGAAAGCGATACAAACATCAAAGATACATTATTAGCAGATCATCATATCAATATCAGCGACTGCCGTGTGGTTTATCATTTTTACACGTAGCTGCTAAATTCCAGAAGAATTAGTATATTGTAAAAATGAATATGAAAATAGATAATGCATACTAATATGGTCCCTTTATTTTATCCGCCTCGCGTGCAGATCGCTTTGTCAGATTCCAGGCTGAGCTCCTTGCCGGCTTTGCCCGTTTCCTTAGAGTCACTCTCGATCAAAAATAACCGGCCGCTAACGGAACTCCACCCGGGAGACTTCACAACACTTCCCCGATCAGGTAAGGGAGATAACTTGTCCGCCTGACGGATTAGAAAACTCCCTCAATGGCATTCCCTAGTGTCGATCTTGTTTAATTTCCAAAACCATGCTTAGCTTACAACTTGTCTTTAGCGACAGTATCAGTTGCAGGATATTGCAAGATCACAGATCATTCCCTTGTTGACAGGCTCAGTATGTTATATATATTATAGTGTTGTGTAGCAGAATTTGGGATTAGAGTTTTATTAAGTCGTGAATGGAAATTGGACTGATTTGTATGAAAATCTTGATGTCTCTTATTATCTTTCATCATCTTCAGAGGCAGGAGATCACCTGCCACTCCCTAACCTGACCAGCTTGCGATTGACGAGTTCCAGGCTCCAGAAGATTCACCCGTTTGCTTTCGCGACATTGCCGGCTCTGAAATCTCTTTATCTGAACGGGTATTCGCACTAATAGACAATATAACTAGCTATTGCGTGTTTGTGGCAAAATGTTGAGCCGACGTCACACAGCAGGAACGTATAGCTTGCCTAACCGATTTGCAAGTTCACTGCAGAATTTTTAGGAACCAATGTACGTAATAATGAAGATGTAAGATCATTATGAATTTGAAGTTTGTCTTCTTTTACAGTTTGATTTCGAGACTATAGGTCATTGAACGTTGCCTGATATGATGCTGTAAGCAAAAAATCTATTTTCCTTAACAGGAATAATTTTCAAAGCATTTCGTCAATCGATCCAGATGCATTCGGCAACCTGACGACTCTGCTAAGTCTTCACCTTAACGGAGTAACGACCTTGTCACCCCGTATGTATATCATGTTATATGCAGATATTGAATTCTGTAAGTAGTAGTCTAGATCTGCGTGTCTTTGATATTCACACCGGCAGAGGAAAGTGTTTTCTTGAATGATTAAAAAACACCGACACGGTATTGATATAATACAAATTATGCTGCCTGGAGGCTTCGTAATTTCCCAATATATTTTTGATGCTTGTGTTTGTCTGGTATTTAAGAATCAGTGATTTCATATCACAGATCCGTGTACATACACATTGTTGTTTAGATGCATGCACACTGTGTTTTGGCCACAGGTGTATTTCGGCATCTCCCTTGCCTCCAAGAGGTATCCTTGGGAGAAAAGTTGACCTGCGATTGTGACTTGCTCGATCTCGTGAAATGGATCAAGAAAACCGGTAGGTTTTTCCCTTGCTCATCAGTAACATAATAATGGCACAATCCTCGCAGATATAGAAGGACTTTATTCACTTCTAGTTGTTTCTTCTTCTTCTACATTAACTTAAAATTAACACTATGAGCAGTACACGTCTCGAACTCACGACCTTGTATCTTTCATTCCTGCAGCCGTGAAAGTCAATCCAAGTCCGCCAACCTGCTTGAGTGGACCTTCTAGCAAAAACCTTTACGAAGAGGACTTATTCGGGACGTGCCCAACGACAACTGTTTCCCCGACAACAGAACCCACGCTGCAGATTTGGTAAATATTACACCATTTACAATCACTTTCTGATAATGATTAAAGCTATACCAACAGTATAGTACTTAAGTGTTAATCCAGAGTATGGCCTACTGCTTTCCGTGTTGCGGCTTGCTAGACAGCACGGTTACAAAAGACGACCAACAAAAATAAAATGAAAACCTCCAACAATATCCATTCATATTGCACCATCATTCCCTATCGCCTGACTGAATCACGATTCTTGACTTCTAGCCCCAAAAAACGAGACATAAACAGAATGATGACACCGACGAATAAGCTGAAAACGTTTATACAGTATATACGCAATAAAACATTGACATCGAATGAAGCATGACATGTTTCCTTTCAACTTCACGCTTCTTGACTCCTAGCACCAAACAGCGAGACATTAACAAATCAAATAAACTTTGTTGCTCAACAACTGTAACTGGTACAATGTATGGCAAAGAAGAAACAACAAGGGTATATACATGAACTATACTAAAATATAATTCTAACACAGCTAATCCATGATGATACTAAAGCTCAACTTTTTTTGGATGTTTTCTTAAGGAGAGTATTATTACATTCTGTAATTCAGCAGGTATGTCAGTTATTTACAATATGGTGTCACTTTTGTAGTGATTTAGATATGAATTTTCAAACGTATACATGTACTGATATCTGAGTAGGGCATGAATGATGACACAGATGAATGAGCTGAAAATTCTTATACAGTATATACACTAAAACATTAACATCGAATGAACTATGGCATCTTTCCTTTCAACTTTGTAAAGTTGGTGTGCTATTCTATTGTTTTACGTACAGCCCAACACTATCTCCATTACTTTCGATGAAAACACCTTCACAAAGCCCTCCTGTGACAACTCCAGCCTGGACAACTCCAAACTCCTCAAAACCACAGGCACCAGCCGTGGGCTTGCCAGAATCAGCAGTCGTGGGCTTGGCGGTCGGAGTGCCCCTGTTCCTGATCATCCTCGCGATGGCGGCCGGCCTCTGTTTCCTGAGGAGGAAAGGACGCCCTTCTGCCGAACACGTGGGTGTGCGCGCGTCGGGACAGACTCAGCAAGAGGTATTTTAACTTTTTGTGTGTGCTGTTAGTGTTTGAGAACAGGAGTTTTCGTAGGGAAAGTGTAAAAATGGCTTTAATATTGATCTCTGTCCTGGGCCAACAATGTACGGCTGGCCGCTAACGAGTGGCCGTGTTACACTACAGGAAGCGCCTATCGGCTTAGCTGAAGTTACCACAGACGACCCTCCATACAACAGTATCGAACACGTGGGTGCGCGCACGTCGGGCCAAACTCAGCAACAGGTATTTGAATTTCTTGTGTTTCTATTGTAGTTTGTCTTCATAGAAAAAGTGTAATGACTTTGATTTTCATCTCTGTTCTGGGCCAAATCTGGCCTCTAACGAGTGGCCGTGTTACACTACAGGAAGCACCTATCGGCTTAGCTGAAGTTATCACAGACGACCCTCCATACGACAGTATCAACGAAGATCAGCGTGATGTCTCAGATGACAATCCATACAACTCAATCATTGAAGATAGACGTGGAAGTCAGGAAAACCCGTATCAGAACCCCGAGACTGTGACAGAACCGGTAGCCGACAGGATCACTAGTTCCTATCTTCAGTTTGCTGGAGTGGAGGGGAGCATGAATTCACCGGACAGCAGGACGGATGATGAACAAGGCCATGACGTGTCCATTCCAACTCCACGTCCCGGAGACGATCAGAGTTCCTCTGTGACAGAACAGATGGCCGACAACATCTATAACCAAGTCAACGACGACGGGTCTGAACAAGAACAGAGTGAGTCGCCTCACGAGGACAACGTTTACATCGACATCATCGGCTAGTTTTTGTGTGGTGGGGTCTTGTTAATGCTAGTAATCCGCGTAAACTAACCTGATGTCGTTCTGACAAATATGCTTAATACATGGTGATATGTTATTGAGATAGTAATCGGTAATGTAATAAAGGTACACCAGAATCGAGAGGTCACAAACAAGCAAGTTGTTGAATACATTGTACAGTAAGGAACACACGATTATACGTGTATGCTAAAAACGCACCATTACGACAGCTTAACCCAAGAACAACTGTACAGTGGGCGATAGCGTTTAGAATATAATATGCGTATGTTAAGAATATGTTACTACATGACATGCAAGTGTGACAGTGCAAGTGCAGATATCAACATTAAAAATAATTTGGTTTATAATTTATACGAGCTGCAATGCTTTCCATTGCAAAGTTGCATTGAAATGAAACATATTGCATTGTATGATATTCATATTCGGTAAATAAGTATACATGTTAGTAGTACCGATACCATTTTGTACATCATCGCCCCTCTTTGAACTCATATATGGTTATAGATACTAACATAACTTTATACATATTGCACACACACACACACACACACACACACACACACACACATTAACACACACACACAATAACACATTAACACACACACACACACACTAACACATATAACATATATATGTGTTAGTGTGTGTGTGTGTGTGTGTGTGTGTGTGTGTGTGTGTGTACATGTATATATACTATGGTGTGGTCTAAAACATCTTTCCCCATCCATACACAGGGCGTACTCTAATATATGTTACAAAATAAACATTGCTTTATCTGAGGAAAGCGACTTCGGATACATATGTGTGTAATGATTGTGTATATTTTGGCATGATTGTAGTAATCAGTTAATTGGACACTGAACTCAGATGTCCAATGCTTGCTATAACTGTTAACTAGTTAAACAAACCAGGTGCACTGAGAAGGAGACATGTCATGTTGTTTCAGGAGGCAACAGGTTTGTATTGTTGCGGTGTCGTCTCAAAGGCCAAAGGCCAGGGTTTTTTACCTTTTGTTCTGGCTCAAATTGTCGGCAGAGCCCGCGGGGTTTGCGCACACTGCTTGTGTTCATCCAGTGAGAGAAATCATGACAGTGCCCGCCATTTTTTTCTGAGGACGATATCGATACATTTGACGTCGATCAGTGACAATTTGCAACTAATGCTCCCAAGAGGAGATAAACATCAAACGTGACTTTCGGGAATCTCTCTAGTGTCACACTTCACTAAATAAAAAAACAACTTACATTTCGTCATTCTAAAAATAATTTGAAAGTCACTCACTTTGTGATACTTTAAAAACACAAAGCAAGGTAAAGACAATAATTCGTGCTCTCGTTTCCTGGACTGAAATCAATTATGATACCTGTTTTATATAGTTTGGATAATATGGAAAGGCTTTAGACACCAACACACGCCTGCACAAACATGTAATATATCAGTTCGGATCTAAGACAGCCCAGGTCATTATACAGGTATGCAGCAAAGGTTAACAGACTACTCAACTACTTATGCTTGACTAGACTAATTCAGGAAACAAAGTCTCAGGCAAAGTTGTATGAGGTAGAGCTCGAGTGTTTATCGACATTTAGACAGAACAAGACTGGGACAAACGGCACGTATCAGGTAAGAGATTTGCTCTGTGTTATTTCAATGTAAAGGCCGAGGAAAATTCACAACACGAGTCAAATGTGACAGTAAACTTGTCAACAGTCACTTCGGAATGCCAGGGTGCGATTGTTATGGACACAGGAATCGTTTACACACTTGTTTGTCCGACTAACGAAATGTCTCGCAGATAGAGTTTAGTGTCATTGTATCACAGGAGAATAGAGGCTGTGATAACGTCGTTTCTAAATTAAATGTTTTACGCATGAATTTCTACACTTAACTTTTGTTATCAACATACTGCACAGACTTTTTGAATATAAGCCATATACGGGTGTGAGGCTTATGATTACTGACACGGTTATTGTCGCGACGATATTTTTAAACAAATGGTTCGTATCATAGTTTATACCTCTGGTTGTGTGATTAACCACTTCCAGGGGTAATTTGGAATTTATCGCTGTCAGAAGCTGAGTGGTATCATAACGCCTATCTGTGTTTTGTTGTTAACAGCCGGCCACCATGGCCATGGCCCGCACTAGGACGTCTTGCCTGTTGGTATGTTTGCTCGCTGTCCTGACCCGAGGTGTGACTGCCCTTGACTGCGCACCCCAGTGCCGATGTTACGGTACCACTGTCGACTGCAGTCACGGAGCCCTCACGGGATATCCGCGGAATCAGCTCATACCAACTTCAACAGAAGTTCTCCTGTTAAACAGTAATCAGATTTCGGAAGTGAGGCGTAACCGTCAGCTTCCCAACCTGCTGGAACTGAGCCTGGAAGATAACTCCATCACTACCCTGACACGCAATCCATTCATTTATCGACAAGCCTTCAGATTCTCCGGTTAGGAGGAAACGCGATCTCCAATCTTCCCGCTTCGGCTTTCAACGGGCTGAGCCAACTTGTGAGACTTTACCTGAATAGAAACACCATCACAACAATAACTGCGTTTGGAAGCAATTCTGTCGTCAACAGACTGAAGATGCTCGACTTACAGAACAACAAACTCACCTCCATCGGCATCGGGACGTTCACAGGAGTCTCACTTCTTACGGAGCTCAACCTTTCATCTAATAACATCTCAGCGATAGAAGACGGGAGCTTCAGACATCTCAAGGAGCTACGTGTTCTGTACCTGCATTCAAATCACATCGGCATGTTGAACAGCGCGACCTTCGTGGGAATGTCAGCCTTAACTCGTCTGACTTTGAGCAACAACAAGATGCAGAGTCTTACTGATGTGGCCTTCATCGGCGCCCCAAACCTGGAGTTTCTGGACCTGTCATCTAACAACCTCTCCACAATCACACAGCAAGCGTTTTCAGGACTGCACAATCTTACCACGCTGCTTCTGGGTAATAACAAAATCAGCTCTATCGAGGACTGGGCGTTTGGTGACCTGGTGAAGCTACAGTCATTGGTCCTGATAAACAATTTTCTACAGAACATGTCAGCAGCAACTTTCACGTCTACGGAAGTATGGGTGAGCCTGTTTGTTTGTATTAAATTTTTCGTTTAAGATAGAAAGGTAACATTTGTAAAGCAAATGCATAATATTTACTTTCACATGGTCTAGCTCAACAAACTACTGCTCTGTTCATTCTTACTCTAAAATAATCAGAGCATAAAGACCAAATCCATTCTGGCCCTTCTAGGAGCTGGACCTCGCTAACAACAGTCTCACAACCATCCGGAGGGGAGATTTTGCCAGGCTGACAAACCTGAAGTATCTTCGAATATATGTGAGTCGAAAGTTGTTCCAAAAGTTGTTCAGTATCAATTTCTAGATCAAGCACTGATATAACATTCATTGCTATCTTCATATCGACAATCCTTTAATATTGACCAAATTATCATTTTGGTGTGGAGAACCTTAAAAGCTTGTATCGTTTGTTTAACCCCCGTGCAGGCTAACGATATCGCAAACGTGGAGGACTTTTCGTTCGAGAATCTCGCCAACCTGAAGGTCTTAGAGATATTCGGGAACCGTCTGACGAATGTGTCAGCTGCAACGTTTAAAGGTAAACAGTATACGCTACGGCAAAGAAAAGTAAAATTAGTGACATCCACCCTCTTTCATCAATTAAAATTATTGTGTGTGTGCGCGCGTGTGTGTGTGTGTGTGTGTGTGTGTGTGTGTGTGTGTGTGTGTGTGTGTGTGTGTGTGTGTGTGTGTGTGTGTGACTGCTCTGTCCTCTGTTGCTGATATATGATGATATATGATATGACCTGGAAAGGTCAAATCGCTGTTGACGTATGCTTGCTACAGCACTAGTGGTAAAACCTGTTCAAGCCCAGAAACACATACCGTACGGTTATCGGGTCAAAGTTTGCTTGCTAATTACCAAGTTATCTGAGATCTACTAAAAGCCCACCCTGGAGCAAGTTACAGAGTTTTGGAAATGATTTTCGTTGGATGTATTTTCATTTGATTCTTTGCACTGTCAATAGGTTTTTATTGTTTTTTCTTGGCGAGGCTTAATTAGCGTATGGCGGATCATGTTATTATTGTTGCCAAAGGTGTCGAATTTAGAGAGCATTCATGACCTACTATCTTCAGGTAAATTGCAGATGATACAATTATGGGTATATGCTGTGCCTGACGTTATGAGCTTTACTGATGATTCACAAAGAATAGGTTAAAACAACAACTGCTTACCACATAGTTTCATGTATATGTGTGGTGGTCTAACACATGTGGAATGTTTAACTAATAGCCTCATATTTCCCCTACAGGCCTGGTGTCTGTGGAGCATATAGGGATGGGAGGCCACCCTGAAATGGTAAGCTTTCCTGACGACACGTTCTGGGATCTACCAAAGCTCGCTCACTTGGGCCTACTCGGTAACCAACTCGTGAGCGTCAGCGACGCCGTGTTGTCTCCCCTACAAAGCTTAAAATCTGTAAGTAACCCAGTTCTATTTGCTTTTCTTGAATGGTGATGTCAGCAGATCGTATTATCATAGTTTCCAGCTGAGAAATACTTCCCGGCCAGAATGTTTGAAGAAGAATTTCAGAAACATTACCAACGAGATGTCATTGAGACATACATCAAACATTAGCAAATCATCCTGTGAATGTGTCATTTTTACAATTTAGAGAAGTTTATTAACACAGCAAAAGTACAGCGACTTGCGTAACTAAACATACAGACAGGTACATAAGAATTGACCTACGCACAAGACTATGGATGAATCAAGTTGTATCACTTGTTCTAAGGTCTAAACATTCTTTGATATATTTACCTATACAGTAAGGGTTATTATCTTCTAGAATAGGGGCCGAATCCAACATATTTCGGTGCATATTCTAACAAAGCAATATCAATATAAGATGCTTTGTAGAGAGCATGAGTCAATATTGTATAGATATGAATGTGAAAATAAACTGTGTATATCTTTCACCCGCCTTCGCAGATTGCTTTATCAAATACCAGGCTGAGCTCCTTGCCTGCTCTGCCTGTTTCATTGGAGTCACTCGACATCAACAATGACCAGCTGTTGACAGAACTCCGCCCGGGAGACTTCACAACACTTCCCCGATCAGGTAAGGAAGTAGATTAGAAAACTCCCTAAACTCAATGACATTCCTTAGCAAGCGCCAATCTCGTTTTTAAAATTTCCGAG